CAGAATCAGAATTCAAGATTTTCTCGGTATTAAAAGAACTATCGATATCTGCGAAATCATCTTGAAAGATCACTTCATAATCAGATGAGTTGTTATCATAATCAGATGAGTTGTTATCAAAATCAACATGTTGCATGAGTGCGAGCTTTTCAAGAACCTATACTATTGAGTTTTATTCTCAAGTGGTTTGATGACATTATGCAAAAATTCAGGCATATCTACATCTACATTTATCAAAGATGATAGATTCTCTGATTTGAAGAAGAAAGATTTATTGGGTTTCTACAACTGAAGAAATACTCAGTTCACCAATCTGAAATCAAATAACTTAACATTCATGCATCATATTTAAGCATTTACAAAAATAGGTGCATTTTCATTCATTCTCATCCATGTTGAATTTTGACAGGAATTTCAAAGATTTTAGCAAAGATTCAAATCCATCATTTGATGGATCAGCTTTTCCAGTTCGAGTTCATAATGAGAAGAACTCATCTGAAGAAGGAAGAAGAAGTTCATAATGAGAAGAATTTGTTCAACCTTTTGTTTAAATTCATTATTTGATGGATTAACATTGCCAGGTAGAGTTCATAATGAGAAGAACTTGTTCAACTTTTTGCTTGAATTCATCATTCAATGGACCAGCATTACCAGTTCGAGTTCATAATAAGAAGAACTCATCTGAAGAGGGAATAAGAAGTTCATAATGAGAAGAATTTGTTCAACCTTTTGCTTAAATTCATTATTTGATGGATTAACATTGCCAGGTAGAGTTCATAATGAGAAGAACTCATCATCTGAAGAAGGAAGAAGAAATTCATAATGAGAAGAATTTGTTCAACCTTTTGCTCAAATCCATCACTTGATGGATCAGCTTTTCCAGTTTGAGTTCATAATGAGAAGAACTCATCTGAAGAAGGAAGAAGAAGTTCATAATGAGAAGAATTTGTTCAACTTTTTGCTCAAATCCATCACTTGATGGATCAGTTTTTTTAGAGAAGTTCATAATGAGAAGAACTCATCTGAAGAAGAAAAAGTTCACAATGAGAAGAGCTTATTCAACCTTTTGCATAATTCTATCACAGAAGCAGATAGATTAGCATCAACCTTTCCAGAGATAGTTCATAATGAGAAGAACTCATCTGAAGAAGAAAGAAGAAGTTCATAATGAGAAGAACTCATCTGAAGAAGAAAGAAGAAGTTCATAATAAGAAGAGCTTATTCAACCTTTTGAATGACTCTATCACAGAAGGAACTAGGTCAACATCATCCCCAGTGGAAAGTTCATAATGAGAAGAACTCATCTGAAGAAAGAGAAGAATTTATTCAACATCTCCATATTAATCAAGTGAAGTCAAATGAAAAAAACTTATTATCTTTTTGTCTTTGCTCTATTCTTGTTAACACAAGAATAAGCAAAGATGGGCAGCTGAAGATACTCATTTTTTCATTTAAATATTATTTATATTATTATTATTATTATTATTATTATTATTTTATTAATAAATATTATTACAGGCCCAAATCAGACTGGATCGGCCCAGTTACAAAGGACCCAACTGGCCCATCAGGAAGCCCAAACCCAATCAGGAAACCCTAAAACCAATTTAGGATTTCCATATCATCATCCAGCCGCCTCAGCATCACAGCCGTTGGATCTGAGAGATCCAACGGCCCCCACGCATCCAGCACAAACCCTAGGGTGATGATACCCTAGGGACCACGCGGCCGCCGCAGCTGCTCCCACCATCTCCACCGCTGCCATGTCTCGTCGAAGGCTTCCAGAAGAGCCACTCCAGCTGCACACGTCTCCCCCAAATGGTGAGTCACCACTGGAAGTCCGGTGACTCACCGAAGAACCCCTTTTGGACCGGTCCGAAGCCATCACCGGTGGTGGCTATAAAAGCCACCGAGCCCCCTGCCAAGAAAGAAAAAAAAAGAGGAAGAACGGAGAACAAAAAAAAAGAGCAACCACAACAGCCACAGAGAAACAAACCCGAGAGCAAAGATACAAAAATAGAGACCAACTCACAACAACCAGCAACCGCAAACCCAAAAATAAGCAAGGAGAAGACGGAGAGATACTTACTGCAACATCACCGAAGCCCTCACACGTCATCAGAAACCTTCGAAAACCGAAGGTATTTTTGTAGATTTGCTCTGATCAGGAATGTTTTAAGGGAAACGGTCATCGGAACCATCAATAGGATGGTCCGATCTATCTTTAGGTGTAAAAAACATTTTCCCGGCCACCGGATGCGGTGGCCGGCGGCGAGGTCAACGCCGGCGAACGACTGTCGGCCGGTGTGCTTCTCTCTATTTTAGAGAGAAGCGAGAGAATTCTGAATTCTCTCAGAGAAGAGAGAGAGAGTAAATGAGAGAAATGAGAGCTGGCCCTTCGGGCCAGCCGGTTATGGGTTTAAATAGCCCTCCCCAAACGACGCCGTTTTGGGGAGGGGTTTGTTTGTAATTAAATAAAAGTTAAATCCTTTCCGCAGCCATCCTAATTTGTAAACTTTACATTTTATTCACTAAATCAATTTATAATCCTTTTAATTCGGTTCTTTAATTTTAGTTTTATTTATTTTAGTCCTTTATATTAAAATAATATATTTAGGATAAATATCATATTTAGTCCTTTAATTTTAATAATTAATATTTTAATCCCGAGTATATATTTTTAATTTATTTTAATATGATATTCGAATTTTATATAGTTTTATTTTAGTCACCAAATTAATAAATAAGGAAAATAGCATGTTTAATCCCTGAAATTTTAAATAATTACGAATTAGGTATTTAATTTTATTAGATTGTAATTTAGTCACTAATTTTAAATATTTTCATAAAGTTTTACTGCTTTTAAATATATAGTTCTAATTTTATTTTTATTATTGATTATTTATGTTTTAATTGTACTTGTTTATATTTAAATATTATTTTTATTATTATTATGTAGTCATATAAATATATATATATAATAAATAATAATTTATATTTTTTCCATAAATTATTTTAATATTTATTTTTCAATATCGAAGAAAAGGGCAGTCTTAATACAACTGGATGTCCTATTCTGGTATTTTAAAATTAAATATTATAAAAAATTATAATTTAATTTTATTTAAATTATTATATTAATTAATATCGAAGAAAAGAGCTGTCTTAAGGCACCTAGAAGTCCTTTTCTGATATTTCTAAATAAATAAATATTTTATTTATAAATATATATAAATTATTTTTTTCTCATAATTATAATTTTGAAATAATAGGATTATAAATTAAATATATTTTGAATTTTTAAATTTCTAATAATAGAAACAATTTATAATTAAAAAGTACTAATTTTGGGCGTTGTAGGGGTGCTAATCCTTCCCTAAACGTAACCGACCACGAATCCCCTTTTATTATTAAAAAGAAAGAATTTTTGGTTATAAACGCAGATCAGTTCATCTTTTAAATGATGTTTTCTTAAAAAACTCTGTTAAAAAATAATTTTTAGGTATTCGACCTACCTGATCCAAAAGGCCGATGGCGACTCCCAAATTATTTTCAAAACCATTTATTCACATCAATTTTCTCGCCAAATAAATATTTCGTGCCCGGACGAAAACCGGTTACGACACACATGTTGTTTATTTATCACTTTCATACTCCCTCTGTGTCTGTCATTGTAATTTCATTTAGTAACTGTGGTATATCATTCAAGAATTATAGGAAAAACAATACCAGATGTTGAACCTTTAAATTATTGTTTTTCATGGATTTTGATGTCAACCAAGAACTCATTGTATTATTTGGTATTTCTTTCTACTTCTTTGCAGGCTTTGTGATGAAATGAATTTAGATGAAATAAAGCAATCTCCTATCAAAAAAAAATTAGTATCTATAAGTGCAAGTACGAATGTATGATATTCGAAGTTCCACGTGTTATAGATGGAACTTACTGGTCAATGGACCTCTTGGTGCTATCTGATCGGGAAAACTAAAAAGAAAGGTGTGGTGGCTGCTACCTTCAAATTATTTTCAAATGATTTACTATGTTGCAAATCTGTTACTTCCCAACTGTTCTCATCTTGTCCTGCAGAATTCTATACAAATGAAACGTTCGGGCTAAAGAACTTCAAAAAAAAAGGGTGCACATTTGGTATTATGCCTTTAACCAACATAGCTTTGCCTCTACAGTTATGTGCATATGGACATCTTGATTGGACCCTTTCACATTGTAGTTTCTCTTGAATTATTTTATTATATGGGAGGTTTTCTCTTTTGTTTCATATTTTTATAAGCCTGCATCTCCATATCCATTGTTTCATACCATAATGTTTGCTTATCATTCCTTACTCGTCTTTGCTTTACAGCCGGTTGGCGACCTGGGAACTCTAGATGTGGATGAGAATGGTGAGGCTTTTAACACTGGTGTCAGACAGAAGCTCAGAGTTGCGGACCTCATCGGGCAGTCAATAGCTGTGTATGAGACTACAAATAGACCAGATTCAGGTCTGATGGCTGCAGTGATTGCCCGAAGTGCCGGGGTTGAGGAAAACTACAAGAAGATATGTGCATGTGATGGAACCACCATATGAGAAGCCACTGACAAATATTTTGTCACTAGTAAGGTCTGAGGATTTAGGGAAGTTACTTGATGTATTTGTGGTTACATTTTGTATCCTTGCTAGCCGCATTCTTATTTACATAGAAAACAGTGGTTGTAACGTTGAATTGCCTTTAAACTAGAGAGAATTTCGATATTGGAGAACCCTATTTTAATTTGTTATACAATCAGTTTAGTTCTAGAAAAGAGAAAATGAAACTTACAGAAAGAATAAAAACAGGACATGGAAATAGAAAATTGTAGGTGGAGTCCAAATGTGAGAAGACATTGCAGAGGGTTGTTTCTCTCTAACCACCACGCTGCATTTCTTTTCCAATGGGTGGCCACAAAGACGAGGATTGCTGATGTAACTATCATCTGAAAAATGTACCGAACTGGTTTCCTTTCAGTATCGGCCCCCATAGGTTGTTGTAAGAGCAGTTAATTCAGGGTGTAATTCACCAAAGAGATTGTTATAGGAAAGATCCAATACTTCCAATGCTTCTAAGTTCCTCAGGGATATTGGTATTTGACCCGAGAGAAGATTACGGGACATGTTCAGTACTCCGAGTGTTTTCAGTTGTGTAATTTGCATGGGAATTGAACCAGTCAATCTATTGCAGGACAAATCTAAGACAGTGAAGGGTATAATACCAGCAGCTATTATTTCAGCATCCGGCGGCTCTGCCCCCTTTGTCCAAGAAGTAATGTTGTCAATGCTGTCGGAAACGTCACCGGACAGATTGTTTCCTGATAAATCTAATATAGACACCCGTAACAGTTCCAGTGGTATTTTCCCTTCCAGACGATTCTCTCCAAGACTGAGTACTCTTAATTGAGAGAGTGGTCATGATCGCGAGAAACTCGTCCATAGGTTATCCATGAATTCATTGTGGCTAAGGTCTAGGACCTTAAGCTTGGGCAAACTTGAATTTCTGGGAAGAACGTGTCCTCTCAACTCGTTTCCCCTCAAACGCAGTGTTTCAAGAGAGCTCATATTACTAGTCACAGAGAAGGGAATTTCTCGGCAAAATTGGGCAAATAGGGAACCTGGGTAAATTATTTGGCTCAATAGTAGGGGTGTGCAAAATTACCCGATCCGGTTGACCCGACCCGTCGATCCGCCGACCTGGATCTAAAAAAACCTGGTAATTCTCTAAAAAAAATTACCCGGCCGGGTCGGGTACCCGGCCCGACATTTCCCGGGTCGGGCCCGGGTCACAAAATCTAATTTTTCCGGGTACCCGGTTACCCCAGTACCCGGTTAGTTTTTATTTTTTTTTATTATATATATATAATTATATAAATTATAATGAATTATTTATATTATGGATTATTATATTTTGTATTTTGAACTTTTAAATTTTATGTTAGGATATTAGAGTATGTAATTCGAAGTTTCGAACATTTAAATTTGTGTATATATTTTTTAAATTAATAATTTAAAAATAAAAAATTAAAAACCGAGTATCGGGTACCCGATTACCGGGTACCCGCAAAATTCGGGTACCCGATTACCGGGTACCCGTAACATCCGGGTCGGGACACGGGCCGAGAAATCGTCGACCCGGAAGTTCCGGATACCCGGAAATCGGGTACCCGGATTTGCACACCCCTACTCAATAGGGCACCCAAACATTTAATTTGGGATCTACGTCAATTGTAACAGTCCCTATGGAACTTGTCACGCCGGCATGACGAGTTCCTTAGGATATAATTTTTTAATGGGCCGTGTCATGTGGATCCCAAAGTCAGAATAAATCTAATATATCTTTAGGGACTCGTCACTCCGGCGTGAGCCCATTAAAAAGTATTTTTTATTTCGAATTTTTTTAAAAAAATAAAAAAAATAAAATTTTAATGGTCATGGTACTCGCCACGCCGGTGTGACGAGTTCCAACGGGTATAATTTTGACGTTTCTGACCTTTGGCTTGATCGTTGTTCAACGGTCGATTTTTTTTTTAAATTTCAATGGAACTCGTCACGTCGGCTATTTTCAGTTTGAAAAAACTAGTCGTTAGGTAGAGTAGTATAAATAGATGTTTGTGTTGGATTGGTTTTTCACTTGTAATCAAACATTCTACTGAGATCAAAAACTTGTGTTGAAGAATTTGTGTTGAAATGACCTCAAAAGAAGAAATGTTACGTCTTGATGATGTTCATATTTCGTCGATCGAGTTGACAACAATAAGTCTAATTTGTTTTATTTCATTTTAGTTTTGACAAAATTATAGTATTAATAATAATTATTTATGTAATTGTATTAAATAATTTATTTTCAAATTGTAGCGAGAAGAACCAACCATTCGTCATCGAGGAATGACGAATGAAGAGCCACATGAGCAGATGGTGATATATCTTTCACAATTCGAATTATATGGAGCGATATTTCTTCGCGGATTTAAGGTGATATCGGCACTGATATCTGCATTGATTGAGCATTGGAGGCTCGAAACTCATACATTTCATTTACCTTGTCGTGAAGTGACGATAACTTTGTAAGATGTCGCATATCAACTTGGCGTTCCGATTAATGGTATGTCATTGGTGCTTCGCAACACTTATAAGGTAAATAATATTATTTCAAATTTATTGGGAAAGGAGGCTCTAACCGATGTCATTGATGGGTTGCGGGTATAAATGACGTGATTGGAAAGAGAATTTAGAGTAGCTGAACAATCAGCGGAGCAAGAAGTGATATATGTCACTCGAGCATATCTTATGATGTTGATTGGAGGGATCTTGCTACCGGATAAATCGGGCAATTTGGTGCACACCCAATATCTTCCGATAATGGAGGATTTTGTTGTATGTCGCCAATATAGTTGGAGTTCTGCAATTTTGGCCTTTTTGTATCGTGAACAATGTAAGGAGACCATAGTCGTTAGAGGAAAAAAAAAAGTGGATGTAGCAGGTTGAGAGGTGATATCCGCCTCAACATCCAAATCTTGTCCATCTGAAGCAACCTCAAAAAAATCGGACTCATCAACTAATGTTGTGTCGTCATCGTCTACCAACGGAACGATATCTTCATCATACTCGCTAAATTCAAAAAGGCTTTCACTGAACCGTCCAACAAGGTTCTCATCACCATAACTTGCATGTGGTTTAGGGGGTCCTGCTTCTTGTGTTCTTCGAGCTGGTACTGATAACGTCGGAATATCAGTTGCATTCGTCGCTTCAACGTACATCTCCACCATATTATTATCTGATGATTGATGAAGTCCAACCATAACAGCAACATCGTCATCATCATCAAGCTGAACTTTTCCATATGTCATTGGATTTGAGGAGATCAGGTGTCGATAACTTAAACATGAAACAAAAGCTCTAAGTTTTCTCTCAATTTTTTGCTTCATTTGGCAATGAGATACATCTACAGGGAACATCATATTGATCGGCTTGTCTGACTTAAACACAACACCAACATCAGTTTGTAGAATTTCTCCATTATAATGAATAATTGTAAAAAATTTGTTGCTCATTGTTTGAAATGTTTTTGGTTAGATGAAAAGAGTTTTTTGTGTAAGAGATTGAATCCAAAAAAGAGTGTGTAATGTAAGAGATTGAAGATGATGTGAACAACTTAAAGGGAATACATATTTTTTGCCGTTAGAACTCGTCACACCGGAGTGACGAGTTCCATGACCATTAAAATATTATTTTTTATTTTCTTTTAAAAAATTTCGAAATGAAAAAATTTTTTTTTTAATAGGACTCGTCACGCCGGAGTGACAAGTCCCTAAAGATATATTAGATTTATTCCAGTTCTGGGGCCCACCTGACACGACCCATTAAAAAATTATATCCTAAAGAACTCGTCACGCCGGCATGACGAGTTTCATGGGGACTGTTGCAATTACCGTAGATCTTAAATTAAATATTTGAGTGTCCTATTGGGCCAAATAATTTACCCGGATTCCTATTTGCCCAATTTGGCCGAATTTTTCCCTGTAGCTCATTGCTTGATAAGTCCAGAAAAAGAAGTCGGTTTAATCTACAGAAAGATGGGGGTATGAGACCATTAAAACGTTATCGGAAGCTTTTAAACGAACCAACTCCAGGAAAATCAAGCCGATATCTTTAGGTAATGGCCCTTGGAAATTATTGTTGGAGACGTCTACTGAAGTAATTTGTGAGCTTATGTTCCGAAAGATCTCGGGGAATGGACCACTCAAATTGTTGCCTCCAACCCTTAATTGTGAAGAAGTATTATGCATCACCCAAGAAGAATGGAGCGAACTAAAAAGTTTTCTGATAGGTCAAGGGACATGAGGTTGTTCTGTGTGGAGAGGAAGATGGGAAATTTTCGTAAGCTACAATCAGCTAAGTTCAGCACATACATGTTGGAAGATGGGAACCGAGTCTGCGTTGTATGAAATATCAAGTTGACCAAGCGTTGATAAATTGGCAAAAATGGAAAAGGAAACTTCGCCGGTGAATCGATTCCATGACAGTATGAGTGACTCGATAGATGTAAGGTTGTGGACTAGAGAGGAAGGAAAAGAACCACTGAATTTGATTGTAACTGAGATCCAGAACTTCCAGTGAAGTCAAATTACTCAGTCATGAAGAGATGTTTCCATGGAGATTGTTACCATACAGGATTAGTGCCGTAAGGAAAGGCTATGACAAAGGCATTCCGGAATGAAACCTGTCAAGTTGTTAACAGACAAATCTAAGTGGTAAAGAGAAGGTAATGCTCTCTTGCTCCAGCAGAAATCAGAAGCATCTTCTATCAAGTTGTCGTGCAGATCCAGCCTCTGCAGGTGCTCGAGTTCTCCTAGCTCTGCACAGCATAAAATTAAAACTATACACTGGAGATGTTACAGTTTATGGTACCACAGAACGTAGAATTTAGTGTTTACCGTGAGGTGAAGTGAATCCTTTTATATTGTTCTCCGGAAGTTCAAGTTCTTTCATTTCCTTAAATTGAGCAAATAGGGTCGCATTCGGATACCAACGTTCAAGCACACTCGGATCTCATTTGTTGTGAAAGATGAGTCTGTTGACACGAGCCGTGGATGCATCACATTCAACGGCCTTCAACTGGCAACAGTCTTCACTGTACCGGCTTGGGAAAGCGGTTCCCTCAGGGCTGTTTATTGAATCTTTGATTTGTAGGAGAACAAGCCTTTCTTCTTCCAAACAGCCGCGGCAATTAAGTCAAAAGCACAGAAGATTCAAGGTAAGAAACACCTATGGACATCTGTGATCTTCATGATTATGAGAAGGAGATTGTTGAATATACAAAGTAGGCACAGTCTGTATTTACGAAGAGTGGTACTTTATTTTGTCAATCGTCTGTCTCCAGGGAAACCACCTTTTTCCACCGGGAAATTTCCCAAGCAAATCTGGAACTCCACAAGGATCACATGGCAACCAAAAAGGACAAACGTAAAAGATTTGACTGAAGCAAATTCCTACCTTATTCTCTCGGATTGTATCATAAATACATAATCAGGGCAGGGGGTCCATTTCCATAGGAAAAAAGGGTTCAACGTTTGACCCGGGAAGCTTTTTACAGGGAACAATGCCATAGGACAGCTTTACTGTTGCTGGAACGACTCATCCAATCTTTATCTTGCAGGATTTCTCCTCACAAACCCCAAATATCCCCACTCAGTCCCTCTTCCTCTCCTCTCATTATTTGACTCGGTCAAGGTCTTTCTCGGCGGCTTCGGTGCCTCCACCAGCGGTTTTCGTAGACAAGAACATCGCTTCATTTGCCTAGGAATCACGGGAAAGAATGGCACTTTTTACAATGAGCAAGCCATCGAATATGGCACTAAGATGGTACTTTAAGTTCCCATCAAAATTCCACCTTTTTTTTTCATGGATTTCTTCACTGCAATACTTGATGGGGTTTTGAAAAAATCCCAGAAAGACCTTTATAGGATTTGTTTATATATCCCAGAGAAATGGGTTTCTATTAGTTTTGTTAGATATAATGGGGATCTCTGTGTATGTCTTTATGAAGTCTTGCAATACTTGCTCTGGATCACTATGCCTAATGATGCATCTTCACTTGCTTCTTCATTAAACCTCATAATTACTATCCGGAACAATGCATTTTGCAAATGTTTATTTTTCTCGCTAACATAATTGATATCTTTAGGTTCTCAATAGCAGATCGTTGTCTTTGATCCTTTGCTTTTGATCTAACTACGTGTCTCTATTTTTCTTGCATCCGTTCCATTCACCGCTCCTCCATGTCGGCATATAGGTAACGCCGGAGTTACAGTTGTCGAATCACCGGCTAGGATCGGCGTTGCCAGCCCATGCTTGATGACTTCAAGCATGCAAAGATGTCTACTCAATTGGTCTCTGCGTATGTGGTCTTTCCCCAGAAGAAAAGCAAAACATGTCCTGGTTTGATGATTGTAAAATTTTTGGAATGATTACAAAATATCATCATTTTTTATTAGACTATTATAAAATAATTATTAAATAACCAACAGAATGGCATTCTAAATATTTTTTCACATCTATTTTTTTCCAATTTTCCCAAATTTTACAGCATATATTACCATGAATTAAAAAACAAGTGAACTGAATTTATTACTACAAATCATTACAAGTACCGAAATTAATGATTAACAAACTCAAACTAAGGTACCAAAATAAGTGTGAATTTGTAGTTAATTTCCCCCCCCCCCGCCCCAAATTCGTCTCCTTCACCAATCACCATTAAACAAATGGACAATCCTCCGCTGAGTTGTTAAAATTTTTAAGACCACTTTGTGAATGACACATTAAATAGGTTGAATTCAGACAGAGAACTTGGAATCTGCGAGTGTCTTCCGGAAACTAGCGACCAGTGAGGAGGGATCATGCAATTGGGAAGTAAAGAAAACATGGGTTTCGCCGAGGAGCAAGTCGAAGAGAGAAACGGAGAAGAAAACAGTGATATGGGAATCGAAGGGAAGGAGATATAAACCCAGGATCTAGAAGGAAACTATGCTTTGAATAAACCCAATAAGAGAGATAGAGAGGAGGAAGCAACAGTTCCTTCGAAAATATGGGAAAATGATGGATTCGAAGAGGGATAAAGTTGAGATTTTTTCGGAGGAAGAAAGTGGGGATCAACTGAAAGGAGAGGAAACGTTGACTTCCATTGAGAATCAAAAGATATCAAATGCACAGGACATAGCAAATAGTGGGGATGCTTCGAAGAGGAAACTGAGAGCAAATTGCTAAGAAAGTAAGCTATGCCGAGGTTCAAGAACATGAAGATGAAGAATTCGTGCCCAAGACGCGTGGACGGGATAGTCCAACGAAACAAGCTTTTGAAAGCCAAGTAAATGGAGGGAAAGATGTTCGAGGAAGGGGTAGGCCAAGGATCCATGTAACTTCTAAAAGTGAAGGCAATGGAGGGGAAGATGTAGATAATGGAAAGAAGATGGACGAAGCAGAATATTTGATTTGCCTCAAGGAAGACCCGGTTCGAAGAAAAAAAGGAACTCTAAGGTACAAATCATGCTTTTTAATTCTAGCATTATTCATATCATGTGCGTATATATATGTATATATTTGGTGGTGGATATGATGTGTTGCTGGTGGTTCTTGTTTGCTTTCAAAAACATTGTCGATGTCCATTGCCAAAGAAGATAGATTAACATGCCATCAGTGCAAGAGGAATGATAATGGCAGGGTTGTGAGATGCCGACTTTGCAACGGAAAACGATATTGCATCCCCTGCATTTTTAGTGCATGAACAACTCTGTCTACAATATGCTTAGAAAATAGTTTCTTATATTGAACTGGGTTTCCATCTAATGTGCGTGCCTTGCTTCTGTTTTGAATTTCATGTGGTTGCTAATTTACCATCAACTTTTCTGTTTTTCTCTCTGATTTTTGTTGTTTCCTTTTTTATATGGTTTCTGTGACTAGGTATCCCAAGATGTCTGAGGGTGAAATTGCTGAAGCCTGTCCTGTTTGTCTGGAGAATTGCAATTGCAAGGCGTGCTTGCGGATGACCGAAATTCCCGAAGTTAGTTCTCAAATTCATGGCATTACTGCTCGAATGATTGCATATATTATGTCGTACTTGATTCATGATATCATATAATTGATGAGCTATAGAAATTGGGGAAGACAATAAAGTTGGAGTTCAGTGATTATGAAAAAGTTTGGCACTCCAGATACTTGCTTCAGTTACTTCTCCCATACAAGAAACAATTTAGTGAAGGACAAATAAAAGAGAAGGCCATCGAGGCAAAAATTAATGGTATGTGTTCGAATACGTTTTTGTATAATTTCTCCAAAATGTTATGTTCTTCATATGGCATGTTAGAGCATTGTTGATTAATGTTTTTTTTCCTTACAGTTCAGTTTTAACGTGTATTTATTGAATGAGTTGGGGTGCCCCTAGGACAAATAAAGCTTAAGCAGGCAGAATGGCCTGATGATGAACGTGTATATTGGTAGGTCTTATTGTTGTAATAGTGGAACTAAATGGGATAATTTTGTTTGTTGCTGGAACTCATTTTAAGTGATTCCTGATTCCGAGATGATTTTTTTGGCAGTAAAAATTGCAGAACTTCAATTGTTGACCTTCATAGAAGCTATCCTAATTGTAACTATGATCTTTGCCTTGCCTGTTGCCTAGAAATACGTGATGGGAATTTGCAGGGTGGACAAAGGGAAGCAGTTATGGCATATCCTTACAGGGATTTATATTACTTGCACGGAAAACATACGAGCTCTAAGCCATCGGAAGTGCAGAATCAAGAAGATACCCCTGTGGAAACTAGCTATAAAGAACAAAATGCTCCAACTTCAGAGTGGAAGGTGAATGAAAATGGCCCCATTCCTTGTCCCCTGGAGGACTTAGGTGGGTGTGGTAATGGCCTTTTGGAATTAAAGTGCCTGTTTAGAGAGCATGCTGTTGTTGAGTTAACAGGAAAGGCCGAGGAAATAACAAAAGTTCTCGGCCTGGATAGTGTTCTCAAGTTTCTAATGAACAATGCCCTTGTTACAATTCTATGGGAGAAGTTGACATCGGCAATAATAAGTTAAAGAAAGCAGCTTCTCGAGAATATGCCATTGACAACTATTTATATTATCCAAAAGCTAAAGATATTAAGGGTGGTTATGTACTTGAGAATGCGTCTGGTTTGAGCTGGGTGCCAATGGTTATGTGGCGTGCTTTTCGTCAGGTTACGAATAAAAAAATGATCACCAGTTGGAAGTTAAGGCACTTCATTGCTTAGATTGGTCTGAGGTCAGTTTGGTTATCAGTTCTTATTATTAGACTATGATGCTGAACTTGATTATGCACTATTTATGTACCAATGTGATAAGCATGTATAGTGAAATGCAGGTAGTGGTCAATATCCAACAATTCTTTAAAGGCTATACAGATGGTCGTTTTGATTCGAAATCATGGCCTCAGATACTGAAGCTGAAAGACTGGCCTCCACCAAATTCAAGAAGCTCCTTCCGTGTCATCATGCCGAGTTTGTTAGTTACTTTCCATTTAAAGAATATACGCATCCTCAAAGCGGGTTTCTTAATGTCACTACCAAATTACCAGAGAAATTTCTAAAGCCCGATACGGGACCTAAGTCATATATCACGTATCACATACAGAGTTGCACAATAGCTTGGGCTTGGAGACCCTGTAACCAGGCTTCATTGTGATATGTCTGATGCGGTATATGCTCTCGGTTTTTCCTTTATTTTCTAATAACAACTTTAATGCTGATAAAAATATAATCATCTGCCAATGTGAATGTTTAGGTGAATGTTTTAACACACATTGCTGAGGTGAAGCTTACACCTGAACGGCTCTCTAGAATTGCGAAGTTAAAACAAAAGAACAATGCGCAAGACCAGCAGAAAATCTTCGGAGAATAAGACCGAAGAGGTAGAAGCTCATGAAGGAGGCGCTATCTGGGACATTTTCCAGAAGGAAGATGTTCCAAAGTTGCAGGATTATCTTAGAAAGCACTGTGGAGAGTTTAGATACGTTCATTGTTGCCCAGTATCAGAGGTAACTTTTTAAATTATGCATTCGTGCGTGTGGAGCTTTTTTGATGAGTTATTTATACGATATAGTTCATTGTCTCTTTTTCATATAGGTTTTACACCCTGTACATGATCAATCATTTTATCTGACTATGGATCATGAGGCAAAACTTGCAGGAATATGGTATGTTAAAATGTATACTACGTCTTATTGGACCAGTCATACAAAATGTCAGTCTTTTACTATGGCTCTATGCTGTAAGCATGAATAATGGTG